CAGAGACGCTTTCTTCGCTTGCAGTCTCCCTCACAACTAGGATTGCCATGATGTGAATGCTTTTCGGGCTACCCTTCTTAGCACACTTGTTCCTCTTGTGTTCTTGTCAGCTTTCATCCTCTTCATATTTGTACGTTCACTGATTCATAAATTTCAGATTCATTTTTCCTCTAAACGCTTCGAGAGCTTTTGATACGATATGGGCTTGTGTTCATCAGTGTCCCGATTGGACTGTTACAACATACAAAGGTAATTTTTAGAGAAGTTCACCCTACTTGACGCCTGTAATTAGTGCAGTTGGTTAGATTAGGAACTAAAAATATCATGAACAACTTGCGGCTTGAATTTGTGTGGGTGATGATGGTGAACTTTTCTGTAGAAGAATTGGAAATCATTACCATCGGCTCGACTGGGGGTCCAGCGTTACAACAAGGCGCCCTAGACGCTAACCGGCTGGCATTTTGCACTCTCGTTAGTTTCTTTATCTTGATTCTCAAGAGTGCACCTCATCCCCGGTAGGACCTTGCCCTTGTGAGTGAATGAACGAAGTTTGTCTCCTGTAAAACTATGTTGCAGCAAAGTGCCCCCATCGAGCCGAACTGCACCCGTAGTTCCATGTTGTGGACCATGTTTTCAGGACCTCATTAGTTCGGCTTGGTTCCAGGTGTTCTATTATTACATTCAACCGACTGCCTGTTTTGTTTCGCATTTTCAAGCTACAGGCGATCGCCAGAATTGTTTATAAGGTCCTGAAAACATGGTCAAAGTGGTCATATATTTATCTTTCTACCCATTGCCGACTCCTAAACGTTTTTGACGTTCTGTGGACTCTGCTGCAAAATCATGAATTTTCGTTCTTGACTCCGCTCAGTTCGAGCGTGCGTCGCGGGCCGCTGTAGGCGAAGCTTGGATTAGCTCTTGTATGCTCCGTAATTCTTTGCCCATCATTCAACAGAAACGATTATTCAGTAGGAGTTCAATTGAATCACTCTCACTATATATAAACGGGCACGTCTGTTTGTTTGTTCTGTTTGTCTGTTTGTTTGTCTGTTTGTCTGTCGTGTCTGTCCTGTCCGACGAAATTCGGGATCATCCTGAGAGCAGCTAGAAGGGACGGGTCAAGGGTGGGTTGGGTAGGGCATGGGCCAAGATGTACGGAACACACGTGAACCGAGCTAAGCCCCGCCCACTGTGGGCGGGGCGTGCGCACAGTTGTGAGCTACATATTTCAAAAATTCGTAGTCCGGTTCTAGAAGATCCCGGAGAGCGGAAATTGTGGGTAAGGATAAGCAGTCAGTTGGCGGATGAAATGAGGGAGTCACACCCGTGATGGACGGGGCGTGCTATAGGTGGGCGGTGCTCGCTACAGAACTTTCAAAAATTCGTAGTTCGGTTCTAGAAGATCCCGGAGAGCGGAAATTGTGGGAAACGATAAGCAGTCAGTTGGCAGATGAAATGAGGGAGTCACACCCGTGATGGGCGAGGCGTGCTATAGGTAGGCGGTGCTCGCTACAGAACTTTCAAAAATTCGCAATTCGGTTCCAGAAGATCCCGGAGAGCGGAAATTGTGGGAAACGATAGGCAAACAGTTGGCGGACGGAATGAATGAAAGCACACCACGATGCGGACAGGGGCGTGCGCCGAAGTGAACGGTGCCGGGATAAAAACCCTCAAAGTACATCCGAAAAACTCCAGGAAATGGGGAGTAAGTGAAAATGAGCAATGATTGGGCAGATGGTGTTAGTAAGGGATAACGTAGGAGTTGTACCAAGTGGTTTGGTGACGTGTTTATTCTGTGTTCCTCATCAGCTGACTGGACCGACAGTATAGCGAAAATTTTGTTGACTGTTGCTAGGGGCGTGGGGGGGGGGGGGGGGTATATACAGCAGTGCAAACGGCAAAAAAAAAGGGTTTTCTGGCGGGCTTCTAAAATTCTCCCAAAGACAATTTTTCGATCATTCGACCGCGCGAAGCCACCGCACGGACCCCAGCTTCACACCCGGAAGGAAGAGATCGGCGCGGCGAAGCCGCCGATCACGACTGGTTACGTAACATTATAGCAGTGAAATAGATATCAGTGGCGATGATGAGGGATGTCGCATCTTGACACCATTCGTCGATTGAGATGCATTGTTCGCAACCGCCTTCGCTTTACATCGTGGTTCACGGTTGAGTATTACTGTGATTGAATGGATACCTAACGGAGAATCGTTCCGTGTCACATTCTTCCCTTACTAAACTTGAACGGGCCTCATGTGGTTCATTGTTTCAATTTTCAAGGTTTTTCCCTTGGTTGATGACTACAGCGTCTCTTTTTCAGAGATCTATGAGCTGGCAGTGGACCATAATAACAGTTTATGCGTTGATTATGACTCGGCGTTGAACATCACTGTACACAAACCTCGTTTTGGAGTGTGTCCTCGGCTTCCGGTCTTGAAAAGGTTTATTTAAGCTTTTCTGATGATTTTACCCTTGATTTAACTGCTTCTTTCGAACTCATCTGCTTGTTCTATTAACGAGTCTTCTTCTTTAAGTGTCGATATCATGAATCGCTGTCTACCAGAAGGATTTCCTCAGTTTTGGAAAAGATCTTTTCAGTAAGGTGAGCTACCGAAGGCAGGGGGCACCATGGCTGGAGGCGGCGATTTCTGCCAGCATCATTGGTGGAAGGAGTGCAATAGGCCACTCCTCACTTGGCTTCTCCACCAATGACCTTGGCAACAACCGCTCGCTCGCAGCCATCGTGCCCACTGCATTTAAGTCGGTAAGAGCGCGTTCAGACTTCTCGATCGCGCTACTGTGGGTGAAATTACACCGGGAGGGGGTCGAGTTCGTTCAAGATCGGAACTCAACTGCAAACAACAAACAACCAACAAAGTTCTGGGAAGGGAGTCGTACTGATATCACCATTTCTCACATCACGATGCTGTATCCTGCCTCCAACAGGCAGTTCCAAAAACGATATAAAAGTTCGAACTTTTTTGATGTCTTTTAGGCCGTGTTCATATTCGCAATTACAATGACGATTGGCAGAACGTCGAAAGCGAAGGTTTGTGTAATAATACCTGGAGAGACAGGCAGACACAGAACAAACAAAGCAACACAATGTGACAAAAGTAAAGTGAATATCTGGAGGACTGGCAAAATCGGGGGAAGGGAGAGAAACAACATCACCCGCTGTTGAAAGTTCTGCGTGTCTTACTTTTGGAACAAGATGTTCAATACTCCGCTTGAACGTACTCAGATGCAAAATTCAGTATAATAATTAGCATATTGTATATTTAGTACTATTTTACATAGGAAATAATAAATAACTCAAAGATATTTCGAAACGTTCCTTAAAATTAGGAGGGCGTTATGTACACAAAGGAAGAAAGAAGGAAAAGGAAAAAAAGAACAGGAACAATAAACATGAACGAACATGACCCCCTCCCGGTGTAATTTCACCCACAGTAGCGCGATCGCGCGATCCAATCGCGCGATCCGGATCGCGCGATCGCGAAGTCTGAACGCGCTCTTATGGTGTTCACATTTTGAATGAAGTCGTTAAGATGCTTGAAATAGACTTCATCCGTGGATTCTTTCATGATCTTATTGATACTTCGCCATATCTACCGCAAATGTGTTTGTTAGCCTTGGGTAAGTGGGATTTCACTTCAGAATTGTCTTACATCATTGTGAGAACCGTTACCTCTATCACATTCTCCGTATTATGTAGCCCAGACGAAATGACTTTGCAGTTTTGTCGTTGTTCTCCGTTGTCCTGCTACGATTCTTCGCTGCTGTGATCATTTACTTTGTGTATTTGGCCGTTGTGGTGATCTCTCTCGGTCAGTTTCATTTATGTATCTCCTCTTTTTGGATTTTTTTTTTGTAGAGACACGAGTTAGGTTTTAGTTGAAATTTTCTTCGGTGATAGTCTTTTATGACCTTTGCCTTCTATTAATCGATAGAATGGCACCTGCTTTCCCTGGGATTAGAAGAGCACATACGATTAGAGTCATCGTAGTAGTCGCGTCGCATTTACACCCCCTCCCCACTCCCCCCACCATACTACGTCTTGTATA